AAGCAAAGTTTGTACATTTTATTATCAGCTGAGCTGTGAGGGGGAAAAAAATACCGTCAAATACCGTGAAACCAGTGTAATTGTTGAAAATACCGTGATATAAAATTTGGGTCATATCGCCTAGCTCTAGAAGGCRTCTCATTAACATAAATATAATTAAAAAATAATAATAATTCAGTTTAAAAGCCAGTACTGAAATGTGATCATTAAAGTACAAAAGACTGGGAGAGTTAAGTGTTTGAACAGAGGTTTCTTAGAAACAAGTTCCTATTGGCTGAGCTTTTGTGCACGTGTCATACTGGAATAAGTAGAAATGACCAAATAGTACTTTATGCATTGTATTTGTGTTCCTTATTTCATGTCAGCTCTTTGTATCACACGTTTAAAAGACCGAGAAAACTAATRTTTTTTTGTGTGTGTGTATTTTGGTGTAGTCCCAACCGTTTCCTCCTTCACGACCTGGTGGAGTACATTTACGCAGTGGCACACAGACCTTTTGTTGCCTACAGTATGCCTCGCCCGCTCTACCAGTAAGCACTTTGTACAATTTCTTTTCTTTTTTCTTTTTTATGAACATTGTGTTCCTGAACTATAAAGCAGAACCTACAAAAGGAGCAAATCAAAGCTGTTTAAATGGCTGTCCAGCATGTTTATTCAGCTGCTTCTGTAGATGTACAGCCATCACAGAAACATTACACCAACTGTTCATCAGAATACACTCCTGCTGCGTTTCCTGCTCTGACAAACGCATTTTTTTTTTGTTCTCCTCAGCCTGGTGGCAAAGATTTTTGCCATGAACCCATTTCAGCCTTGGACAACTCCAGACAAAGTGGACAGGGTAAGATAACAAAAAGAAACAAACTTTATCACACACTGGGAATCAATTCAGTCAGCACTATGTCAGTAGATACGATTAGAAWTACAGTGTTGGTTCGTTTCTTTTGCAGTTTCACACATCAGACATGAAGTACCCGGGACTTCCTGGTCTGGAGGATCTTGGGATCACTGCTACCCCCATAGAAGAGAAGGCGATTGAGGTTCTGCGTCGCCACCGCCGAGCTCGTTACCTTGATTTTGCACCGGAGGAGTCGAAGCCCCCCAGGACTGTCACCTACTAAACTTCACATGGAGCAATCACCCTAAGATGTTTGTCTTTAAATATAGTCTGTATATAAATAAAGAAATATCTTCAAAGGGTGGTTTGATTTGTTTGTTTTTGTGTGTTTGCATATTTGAATACAATCTGATTAATAAGGCGTATTTTTAATACAAAACTAAAACCTAAGGTACAACTTTAATCATTTAACAGTTGCTCACAATAGAGGTTGTGTAATTGTGCTTTCAGCTCACTAATATTTTACATTTATATTCAGGAAAGACAACTAAAAGTGCAAATCTAACTACATTTAGTTMATTTCAAGAGGCTGTAAATGATCACAGAACCACAAACATAAAAATTAGTTTTTACTGTTGGAAGGTGAAAGCAGAGCAATGATATGTCATCAAACTTCTGCGTACATTTTATTAAAACTCAGGACATCCAACTAAAAGTGATGAATTTTGAAGTCTGCCCTGTTCAATATGGCCGACAGCCAACTCATTAAAAGTACAAAAATAGCTTTAACTCCCAAATATATCCGACCGAGTCATTAACAACACATACTTTGAGTGTGACATCTTTCAATATTGCAAGAGATTATTTTATTTTCAAGGTTTGGCTTTATTGGACCCTGACTGCAAAATGCTCTAATGTGAACCAATAAAATATCCACCAATCAGAACACAGAACAACCTGTACCTTGAATTATGTTCTTGTATTTAGTAAACTTGTTCACCATCTTAAAACCAGTAAATTATTAATATTTTATAAGTTAAATCTGATTGGGGTTATTTTAATATTGTTTTGTAACATTTGTTTCTCAACTAGACTCGTAAAAATACATAAAATAAAATAAACTTTGCTCATGTCAAAGTGCGCATGGCATGAAACGTTATCTTTAAAGATAAGATTGTTTTCTTGTCCAACCTGTTGAGACCTTGCTTTAAGGCGCAGACGAAATAATGACGGTTACTTTTTACAAGAAACAATGAAGGCATTTATACGAGTTGGAATWATTGGAGCTATTTTACTGTCGATCTACATAATTCTGTCAGTGAGTGCGAGTTGGAGAGTAAAACAGTCTTTTCCAGGAGACCCAGATCAAAAATTTGTGATCAGAAAACTGGACGGGATTGAGCAGATTCTCAATAAGCTGGGTGAGGAAAATTTACAACAACTTTTTAAACAAGACTATATACATCATGGATAGTTGATTTTATTAAACTACGTTTGAAATGAAACTTTAATTTTGTTGTAGATGTAACGATTGAGCCATAATTAATAAAAAAAAACCCACGTGTGGTAAGTTTTTTGAAGGAGACATTCAACCAGCAAGACACGAGTACTGACAGTGTGTTATTATGTTTGTACCTTCTGATATACTGTATGTAGTTCTTAATATTATGGAACTCCAAAATGTTTGTAATGAAATATGTAAAACATTATGAAGTAATATATTTATTAATAAATAATAGATAAATATATAATGTGACAATACAATTGTGAAATAACTGAATGCATTTAATATTCTAAGGTCGTTATGATGAAAAYTTAATTTTCTGTTAAAAATGTTTTAATTAAAGAAAGAATTATTTATTGTTATTATTATTTCAGTGACATTTTCCCAATATTAGAAATTATTTTTGAGACATTTTTATTTAATTCCAGCAGTTTTCGTTCCAAAATGTCCTTTGTACAAAGTCATATTTTAGTTCATAATGGTGTTATTTAAATGATAATGACACTTTTCAGCAGAATGGCTTTGTCTAATATTGTTTTATTTATTTACGAACATTTTGGTGCTCCAATAACAATTAATAAAAGTTGGTTTGTTGAAGGACTAAGGCAGATAAAACATTTTTCTTTTTTCTGCTGCCTTTCATTTTATTTGTGATTTGTATTTTTTTTTCTTCTATTGTATACAGAATTTACTTTGTTTTTAATGAAACAAATAAATCTTAAATAAATAATAAAAATGTTAGACTTTCAGAACAAAATACCCAATAAGGTCTTTAAATCTTGGAGATTATAAATAATGTGTGAGACTGCCCATAATCACCAAATAAGACATTTTTTATAGAAAGCTGTTTAATTATCAGTATAATATTATATTTAATCTGCTAAAAATGTATTAAGATTAATCAAGATTCCTTTAAAGTATTGCATGATTGTGCTGTATGCCAAAACATGGTTATATGAAATGTGACAATTCTTTTTCAAACTCTCTCAAAAGCAAAGCTGTTGGAGGAAAATGGCCAGAAGAAACCAACTGAGACAATTGTTCCCAATGTGGATCAAGGAAAACAAGAGAAACAGAACAAACCCGTGGTGCCAAAGTTATACCCCGACTCCTACCTGTTTACAACGTGGGGAGATGGTCTGTCAGAACAGGAGCAGAAACAGGCTGAAGCTCTGTTTCAGCTTTATGGTTACAATGCCTTCCTGAGTAACCAGATCCCACTTGACCGGAAGCTTCCAGATATGAGAGACTCCAGGTAAAACAGGCTGTAGAATAGAATAGAAGAATAGAAAAAGCCTTTATTGTCCTGCAGAGGGGAAATTCAGGTGTCACAGCAGCATCCGTACTTTACAAACTATAGATGGTGCACACAAAACAAAAATTAACACTGACTCGTCATGATATGAATACGAATAATAAAACATATATATAATAAGGAATAAACAATACAAGTTTTACCTTCTGATTGAAGTGTAACTCATCATCTCTCACCATTTAGATGTCAGGGGAAGAATTATCCTAAAGACTTACCCAGCATCAGTGTGGTGCTGATCTACGTAAACGAAGCTCTTTCTATCATAAAGAGGGCGATACGAAGCGTCATCAGCCACACTCCAAAACACCTGCTGAAGGAGATCATCCTGGTGGATGACCACAGTACTTACAGTGAGTWTTACACACAACGTTCCTTCAACATCTGACAGCATTCATGTCACTCTTGGGGGTTTTCTGCAAATATTTGTGTGGAATTATTTCCTTATTTTATAAATATCATTATTTTTCTATACATTTTTTTGTAATTTAATTATTTTTTGCATGTTTTATTATTGGCCATTTATATATGAACAGATTCAAAATGTTTAACTTTATTTACAAAAATAATAAATCTGTTTCAGCCGCCTGCTTTTTGGTTTTGTTTGTCTAATGCTAATGTGGTTTTAGCTACTGCTTTTAGTTAGCCTTTWGATACTTGTTCAGCTTTCAGTTTTATCTTTTTAGTCAGCCTAGTGTGACTTTTAGCTCATTTTTAGCTACTTTTAGTTAGCATGTTGTTTATTTTAGCTTGTAATAGTGCCCTGAGATGATGTTTGTTGTGAGTTGGCGATATACAGTATAAATAATTGAATTGAATTTTAACAGTTCTTTGCTACTTTCTTGTTTTTGTGTCTTTTAGCTTTTATTTAGCATTTTGTTAGTGTTGGGTTTTAGGCAGCATTTTGCTTTAATAGCTTTTGACTAGTTTTCAGCTCCTTTTAGCCAGTGTGCTGGGCGGGGGGAGTTAGCCAAGATCCAGCGTCTTCAGCAAACGTCAGCAGACATTCGGCATTTTCACTTACATTTTCATTTAAAAAAAAATCTGATGGTGAATTCTTTTACAGATGATCTTGGGCAACCGTTGGCAGACTACATGGATCAGATCCACAAAGAAAGACCTGGACTCATAAGGAGAGTTTGGCATCCGGAACAAATGGGTTTGTCCCAGTCCAGGATCACAGGCTGGGAGCACGCCACTGCTGATGTCGTGKCCATTTTGGATGCTCATATTGAAGCTACACAAGGATGGTGTGAAGAAAACAGCACTGATTATACTTACGGTTATTGTTAAGTTATTTAAAGTTATAAAAATACAGTTTTAATTAATACCTCTCATGCTATCCTCTGCAGGGCAGAACCTTTGCTGGCCAGGATTAAAGCTGACAGAACTGTTGTGGTGTCTCCTGTCTTTGATAAGGTCCATTTTGATGATCTCCATGTGGAAAAATATATCCCATCCGCTCACGGCTTTGACTGGGAGCTGTGGTGCATGTATGAGTCCTTCAGTCCCGACTGGTTGATGATGAACGATGGATCACAACCTGGGAAGTATGTGGAAAAAATACAATCTAGGTTATTGTAAACTCACCTCTTGGAGATCAATATAAAATTAAAGTGTCTGTGACATGCATATCTATGAAATATAAAAAGGCAAAGAAAATATATTTGTATTTAAGAAACTTGGCATAATACACACGATTTTACCCATTATGTCACATAATTGGCTTTTTTTCTTTTGAATTTGGCTCAGCTAAAGTGAAACAGGAAGTGACATCAAAGGGGAATTCTTAGAGAAAGAAAAATCCCTGTTTTTTGTTTCCTGAAACATAACTAATTGAATTCTGACTCTTCTCATCTCTTTATGATAGTGATTAAAATAATCTAAAGAAACATCAGATTCTTCTGTACAATCTGTGCTGTTAGCCATTTTAGCAGCGCTCTGTTTACATGCAGACATTCCCCTTTGACATCACTTCCTGTTACTTCACATGCAAATATCTCAACAACTGTTCATCTCAGCGACATAAAATGTGTTTTACAAAATGTTATCAGTGCTACCCTTCCAAAAATACATTCTTTTTTTATTACAAAAATTGGATGTCACAGACACTTTAATGCTCATAACAAAACAAAATATAGAGTATTGTTTTGGTTTGGGCAGTGTCTGACTTATTTAAATGGTAGCTACTACCGTATCACTGATGTCTGTTTCATGCAGGAGTCCTTCTGTTATGGGAATCTTTGCAGCAGACAGGTCTTTCCTGGGGGAAATTGGTGGACTCGACAGCGGAATGACAGTTTACGGAGGGGAAAATGTTGAACTTGGGATCCGTGTGAGTGTAACAAATACGAACTGCGATAAAGAGCTTTGGTACAAGAGTCCCTCATGACCTTTGACCCGTGTCCCGGCCGCTCAGGTGTGGCTGTGCGGAGGGAGCGTGGAGATTGTGCCCTGCTCTCGGATAGCTCACATCGAGAGGGCGCATAAACCGTACGCCCCCGATCTCAACACTTCCATGAGGAGAAACGCTTTGAGGGTTTCGGAGATTTGGTTGGACGAATACAAGAAGAATGTGTTTATTGCCTGGAACCTTCCTCTTCAGGTTGGTTTGAGTTCAGCAAATGTAAAACCTAATGTTTCATTGAAGGCCTAGCGGCTGGGGGCTGTAAGTCATGGACTTTTTTCCCCCCACACTTGACACATTTTTAGCTGATTTTCTAAACCAGAAAACACATTCCAGAAAGGTTTTCAACAGTATAGAGGTAACAAATGGTTTGCTCTTCCAAAACTTGACTGATATCACACAATAATTCATTTATTTGAGAACACATCTGTTTTTAATTCCTGTAGAAATAAACTGAAAACAGGTAAAACGTATTTCAACATGTAATAAAGGACCACTCTGGCTCAAAAATCACTAAACACCAGTTTTTGACTATGATTGTTGAAATAGATTTTATACTCTTTATGCATTCTTCACTATTAATCTGCACACAGAACCATGGAATTGACGTAGGTGATGTGTCCGAGAGGAGAAAACTCAGAGAAAAAATGCAATGTAAACCCTTCAAGTGGTACATTGACCACGTCTATCCAAGTCTGGAAACATGGGATAACATCCTGGGGTACGGTGTGGTAAGAAATATATTTCATTTGTCAAGCAAATAAATGAGCCTGAGATATTTTCACAGTGAGTTTAGCAGAAGAAACTCGATGTAAAATAAGACCGGGTAACTTTTTGTTTTGCCTTCCTGAAGTTACAGAACACGTTCTTTAAGAGTTACTGTTTGGATCAGGGACCCCTTCCAGGAAACATCCCAGTTTTGTACGAGTGCCACTTCCAAGAACCACAGGTGATGTTTGAAAACAACACAAATATGGATACAGAACATAATAAATCTTTAATCCTAACTCATCTCTTTTTTTTAAACCAGCACTGTTACTACAACGCAGAGAACGAAATCATCATAGGAGGCCTTAAATCTCACAAATACAACAGTAACCGATGTCTGGTGGATCCCGGCTCTGGAAGCCTCCCCACCTTGCAGGACTGCGTCATGGCAAAACTAAACAAATTACACCTGCAGTGGGACTTTAAACAGGTAAGACTCTAACAGAGGGATCAGCACAAAAGTGGCAAAAGTTGCCATTCTCTGGTAAATAATTATATTTCTAAACTATCTGTCGTATTTCCTTATCAAACCTCCTCAGGGTCAAGCAATCAGGAACAAAGCAACTAACAGATGTCTTGAGATCGCTCAGGGGGAAAACTCGTACTATCAACTCCTCATTCAGCCGTGCACCGGGCAGAGCTGGGCCATTCAGCATCTTGTCACAAACTTCTAGTTCGGTTTTTAACCCTCCCTCGCTCATTTTTAACATGCAGGAATGCCAACAACCCTYGTTTTAAAAAAAAAGTCCCTTGTCTCTTCAAATGCAGACAAAGTCATGAAACCTTATGTTTTCAGAGGTCAAAGTTGACTGGAACTCAATAAGAGTTAAAGTGAATTCAGATGTCAAAGTGTAAAAACTGAAACCTTGAATCAGATGCATTTTTTTACAGATACTGTATAATTAAATAAAATGTTTGTCTTAGTGGTTTGATTCTTTTTTCTACCTGCATTTTGTCTTCAAAATATTTCCACACAGTGCTCACATCAGGTGATAGTTATCCATCACAGCTTATGCTGCACATCTGGAGTGTTACGGAACTTTTTGTGCAATAATCTTGTTTCTATATGTGCTTTTACCTCATTTTAGTGTTTAAGTTTATAAACTTAACACAAAACCTAAGAAAATTTGTATTTGATAGATTATTTCTTTGTTGTAACGATGCTTCTTCACAATAAATCTTATACATGGCAGCACCTGGGGGACCAGAAACCAAAATTTAAAATAAATAAATCATTTCATTTTCTACCATTCAAAGAATAAACATGGAATAAAGATTGTGCTTTCTTAGCCTAACAATGTTGCATCCACCATTGTATGTGACTCCAAAGCGATACAGCATTTTGCAACTTTTAAAAATTAACTTATTTTTTTACCAAGCGGTTCTGCAGATCAGGAACATTACTAAGAGGAAAAATGGTTATAGTTTTACATATGCAGAGATGGCCAACTGACGGCAGATTTCCCCATCACCACGTAAAATAAAAGTGCTCAAAACAGCTCTTAGATTATTTTTTGAAAATAATCACAAAAGTCTGAAAAGTGCCCATCCCTATTAGGTCCTACAGCAACCCGGTTGCGTCTGTGTTTTTTGCTCCATCTAGTGGCAAACGATTTTATTGCAACCAATTCAGTGCTACAGATACTTGCCTTTATACACTGTAATTATTTTTGTAATTTTCTAACATTAATCAACCCTTTTACAGGGTTTTTGGTGGTTTTGAGTGGTTTTCAGCCCAACTAGACCCCCTTTACAGGGTTTTTGGTACTTTTCAGTGGTTTTCAGCCCTCTTATGCATGTTTCACATGGTTTTTGATGGATTTGATTGGTTTTACGGGGTTTTCAGCACTGCTAGGCCTGTTTCACATGGTTTTTGATGGTTTTTGTTGGTTTTGAATAGTTTTCAGCATTCCCAGGACTGTTTCACACGGTTTCTTGTGGTTTTAAGTTTAGGTGGTTTTCAGCCCTAACAGGCCCGTTGCACATGGTTTTTGGTGGTTTTGAGTGGTTTTCGTTTAACATGGTTTTTGGTGGTTTTGAGAGGTTTTAAATGGTTTTAGGTGGTATCCACCCCTCCTAGGCTCGTTTCACATGGTTTTTGATGGTTTTTGGTGGTCTTCAGTGGTTTTTAGTATAGTTTTCAGCCCTCCTAGGTCTGTTTCACATGGTTTTTGATGGTTTTTGTTGGTTTTGAATAGTTTTCAGCATTCCCAGGACTGTTTCACATGGTTT